TTAGCAAACAATTGATCTGGGGGTGGGTCATGCTTCATCGTATTGTGATAAGTTAATGAAGTTGGCATATGCGTTGAACAATAAGACGATTGGGGCGTGAGATGCGACCTTGTAGCCGCAGAGTAAATGTTGTGGTGGTGTAGCTTAACAAATTCATTAATAGGAAAAGGGATCTTCTAGACTCTTTCAAATTGCTGTAACACACAGTCTAGTATGTACGACTCCGCTATCTCCATGAGTTATATTGTGCCATAATACAACGTACGAGGATGCTGGTAATGTGCACCAGCCTCATACGGGGTCCAATAAACATACACAAATTTGGCACAAATTAGGAAAAAACATAATACAATTCACATCTCTATATTACAAGCTAACTCACATATTTTTCTGACATGTCGTCGAGCAGCTTCCGATAATATTGCGATTTCTTCCTACAACTTTCACTAGAGGCCCACACTCTGCATCGAGGCATGAACTATGTATATGTTGGTGAAACCTGTGGTCGAAAACAAGGAAAATACTAAAAAAATCCAACACTGCAAAAAATCACAAATCATATTAAAAACACCTACATTTTTACATTAAATAAAAAAAAAAATTACTAGAAGGAGAATTGTGCACCCACAAAGTCCATTCATCCCAGCTTGCACAAAGTCCATTCATTCATCCCAACGCGAATTGCAATACCCAATTGCCAATACATGTTTGCTAAGCAAGCAGCAACCGACGAATACTTGCCGATTGTATCGATATCATTCGTATAATAGATCCAATTACATGGAAGATGTTCTGTCGAATAACAAAACAGCCCCCAACAGAAACATCATATACCCCTATATCTTATTCTCGTTCGTGGTTGACGACTTCTACAACTGCTCTTGTACCTTTGTCCACTGTTTCTAAACATGGATCTCGTAGTCTTCACACCCAGGCCCATAGGGATGCAAGACTTTGTGCGCACTGATCTGCTTGGGGAACTGCTGCAGCTAACAGTCCGTCCAGTCGTAAACCCAGGATGAAAGCAACATTGTGGAACGTGATCGTCATCTCTCCCAATGGCAAGTGGAAGTTGTTTGCTCCGATTGCCACATCTCCACGAAAGCTAACATTAGAGCTTGATTCATATTGGGAAGCCAATAGTCTCGTAAGTGGTAAATCCCGATTGCCTCCAACATGCCAATCTTCGTGTCATCATGTAGGCCGCGGTAGGCTTCCAATGCTTTCATTCTCGACTTGCACCATTCAGTAGCACGACGCTCACTAAATTAAATTGCGTATATGAAATAGCAAAAGCACATATTATAAAAATATATAAAACACATATTAAAGAAAAACTTACATGTCCACCCCAAACATATATCGCTATATGTGACTTGAACCAATGCATAAACTCCAAATTATCCGGCACACTCCATTGCACAGACCCTCATATGAAGGACCTTTCAAAAACGGAAAATTTGGGCCACGACCACATCCAGGTGTCTGCATGCAACCTGACACCATCATCACCATCATCATCATCAATCATCATCATCATCA